TGTTCTAGAAACAAATCAATCTTTCAGGGTCCTTCACACTTCCACCAGAGTTGATCTTTCGACTGTGTCTGCAGTCAGCAGGACTGTTGGGGGCTTCTTAAAATCTGCTCCTATAAACTTCTGTGCAAAGACTGGTCATCCAAGAAGTAAGTCCTGACTACATTCAGGACGGGTGACCCCAGAACAGGAAGATGCATGGTTATATTTCTAGTCTGTCACTCTGTATGCTTCTTTTTCTACCTGAAAATATTCCACAAGGAGTATAACGTAAGTTTTAAGTTGAATATGAATATTTGGGTCCTTTTCTATTCCTCCCACTGACCAATGGCATCTAAGTTTTAGCAGAGGATGGAATTTTCAATTAACATGAAAATCTGGCAAGGGGGGGGAGGAAGAAGAAGGAGGAAGAACAAGGATATAAAGAGGGATGGGAAGGGGGAACAGGAAGGTGGCCGGAGTCACAGGCAGGCCACGTGCAAAGCTTTCCTCTCTCCATTCTCCACCCCACCTCCTAATGTGTTTGCTTGTTTTGGGTCACACCCAGCAGTGCTCAGGGACCATCTTGGATCCTGGACAGCTGCACGCAAGGATGCATGCAAGGACCATACTGGATCCTGGACAGCTGCCTCACCCGCTGGACTATCTCTACTCTCCCACATCTTTCGTCGGCATAACGATTTACAGAGACTTTTCTTTTGACAGCTACATTTAAAGAGGCAATTATAGAAAGTCTCTGACTTTTCATATGGGATCAAACTGTTCCTTTCAGCTCCCGGCAGAATAGGGAACTGGTACTCTATCAGAGTACTGGAACTAGAACTCCAGCTTCATGGAAAAAGAGCATGGGCATATTTCCTTTCGCCGATTCATAGGCTCTGTTTTTTTTTTTTAAGCCTGATTTCTTTCTTTTTTTTAATTTTTATTTTCACAGCGGGTAGGGCGTCTGCCTTGCACGCAGCCAACATGGCCGACCCGAGTTCGATTCCTCCGCCCCTCTCGGAGAGCCCGGCAAGCTACCGAGAGTATTCGATATGCCAGACACAGTAACAACAAAGTCTCCAATGGAGACGTTACTGGGCCCGCTCGAGCAAATCGACGATCAAAGGGAGGGCCTTTACTTTACTGTTTACTAATTTTTATTAGTGAAACACCATGAGGTACACTTGTAGACTTACAAATTTTTGTGCTTGGGTTTCAGTTATACAATGATCGAACACCCATCCCTCCACCAGTGCCCATTTTCCACCACCACAGATCCCAGTATCCCTCCCACCGCCCATCCCCCCCATCCCACCCTGCCTCTGTGGCAGGGCATTCCCTTTTGTTCTCTCTCTCCTTCTGGGTGCTGTGGTTTGCAACAGAGGCATTGAGTGGCAATTCATAGGCTCTTGAGAGACTTCGTCAATGTCTACATTAGCCTGTTTCTTTCCCAGCATTCAAGATCGTATTTAAATGTTGATCATAGGCATGCAATTTGTGGATTATTCCAGGGGCCCACTATAACCACAAGTGTCCTAGTGAAACAAGAGGCAGGGGAGGACTGAGTATAAGGAAAATCAGGGTAATGATGACAGAAGCAAGATGCTATACCGCTGGCTTTGAAGATGGAGGAAGGGCCATGAGCCAAGAAATACGAATAGGAAAGAATTCTCCAGAAGCTTCTAAGAGCCAGCTCTCCTGAGAACTTGCCATGTCTCCTTTCCATAAGATTTCTCTCTTCCATGCTGACCTCAGAAGATTCAAGGAGTTGGACAGCGCGGGTCATCTGCTTTTTGGGTCACACCCGGTGATGCACAGGGGCTCCTCCTGGCTCTGCACTCAGGAATTACTCCTGGCAGTACTTAGGGGACCATATGGAATGCTGGGAATCGAACCCGGGTTGGCTGCGTGCAAGGCAAACACCCTACCCACTGTGCTATCGCTCCAGCCCCAGCGCAGGTCATCGGAATAGGCTCCAGAAAAGGACAGAATCCTCCACGTTTGCACTGCTTCATCCTCTCCTGCCTCGAGAGAGAGAAAACCAACCCCCCAACTTCCCACAAAGCAAAGCATACAGGATGCCGTTCTCTAATTCCAATAAAAGCCTTTCTTTTCACGCATGATGATACTCCAGATGACGAATGAATTCTACATTAGAATTTATTTTCTTGCAGCAATTTTCAATTTTAAAAAATTATTTTTTGTAACGGCCAAGACTCAGAGACTATAAAAACCAGCTCCCGGACATCTTATTATGACATCTTATTATTTCATTCCTACTTTGGACAAACTGGCAGGCTACCGAATGTAGCCTGCCCACACGGCAGAGTCTGGCAAACTCCCCGTGGCGTACCCAATATGCCAAATACCAGTAACAATGATGGGTCTCATTCTCCTAAAGAGCCTTGAATATAATCTCAGGGCTAGGATGAAGGAGACGTTACTGGGGCCTGCTCGAGGCAATCGACGAATAACAGGATGATTTGTGATTTTGTGATTTTTTGTAGTGCAGATAGCATGGCTACAAGTGTTAGCACTGATGGTTCTGATGTACAAAGTTATGACACCCTCACCTCCACCAATGCGTCCAAGACCTTCCACCTCTGTCCCTGCGTCCCTTCGGGTTTTTCTCCTCATCCCCCCATGCCCCATTTCTCCCCAAAGTCTGGAAATTTCAGGTCTGCCGTTAAAGGCCAAGAGTTTGTCATCATTTGATCCTCTAGTCTCTTGTTTCTCTCTACACTGTACAGGAGTAAAACCAATCTCTCTTCCTCCTTTCCCCCTGATACATTTTGCTTAACATTGATACTTTGCAGTTTTATCTCATTTTCAGCAAACTGCAGAGATTTTTTTTTTTTTTTTTGCTTTTTTGGGTCACACCCAGCGATGCTCAGGGGTTACTTCTGGCTCATGCACTCAGGAATTGCTCCTGGCGGTGCTCGGGGGACCATATGGGATGCTGGGAATCGAACCTGTGTTGGCCATGTTGGCTGCGTGCAAGGCAAACGCCCTACCCGCTGTGCTATTGCTTTAGAGGGGGTAGTTTGGGGGCTAAACCTGGCAGTGCCCAGGACTACGCTCAGCTCCGTGCTCAGGCCCAATCTCTGGCAGTGTCTGGGGGAACCATATATGGTGCCAGGAATTCAACCCAGGTTAGGCCCCATTGAAGGTGAGCGTCTAACCTCATGTCCCATCTCTCGGGCCCCATGAAGCAGCTTCACCTTCCCTTGGAGCTCAGTATGAATCCGCTGTGTGTGTATATAGACGGCTTTTCTTATTTTATTTTTGGTTTTGGGCCCACACCTGGTGATAAGATTTACTCTCGGGTCTGCCCTCAAGAATCACTCCTGGCAGTGCTCGGGGGACCATGTGGTGTGCCTGGAACAGACAGTGGGTCAGCCACGTGCGAGGCGAGCTCCCTGCCTGCTGTACGATCCCTCTGCCCACTATACGGCATTTCTTTGTCTGCATCTTAACCAGGCCAGATGTGTTCTTTGGCATCTCTGGCCCTAAATGTGGACCTGTGTCATTGAGTGAGGGTCCAGGAGCCACACAAAACTAATTTCCTTACTAAAATGAAGACATCTTCAGGGCTGGAGTGACAGTACAGCAGGTAGGGTGTGTTTGCCTCACACACAGCCAACCTGGGTTAGATTCCCAACATCCCATATGGTCCCCTGAGCAGTACTAGGAGTAATTCCTGAGTGCAGAGCCAGGAATAACCCCTGTGCGACCCCAAAAACAAAATAAATAAATGTTTAGTTGTAGGTACCTTAAAAAAAATGAAGACATCTTCTATCACTGTTGGCCAAACATAATCCACAAGCCTGGTCCTGGATTTTTCTGTTGTTGTTTGTTTTTTGGACCACACCTGCCAGTACTCAGGGGCTACTCCCAGCTCTGTGCTCAGGAATTACACTGGCAAGTTTGGGAGACTATATGGGACGCTGCGGACCAAACCACGGCCGGCCGCGCGCAAGACGAATGCCCTCCCTGCCATATTATCGTTCTGGCAGAACCATGATTTCGTTTTACCATGTGTGCTCAATGTGTCATTTCTTTTCAGGATACGAGTAGAGAGCGGGGCAGTGGGACCCCCCAGCAGGAGACACGTCTTCAGTGGACCAAGGAGACGAAAGAGGTGGCGCGGGCCTGGGTGAGCTGATTTGTAGTGGAGCCAGGCCACCTGGACACGCCTAACCAGCCGAGACACAACTGAAGTGCCAGACTTGGAGGGGCAGGAAGGGGCCTCCCATGTGGTGCCAGGAGGTCGGAAAGCCCCACGGGTGACTCTCAGCCCAGCAGGCCAGCAGTTCAGCACAAGGGCCGGTGGGTGTGGGACCTCTTGGACCCTGCAGTGCTGGGGCTACCGGCACCACCTCGAAGGTGCCCAGGGCCTCCAGGTCCATACCTAGGATCCTCTGGGGGGAGGGGCTCCTGGGGCTGCCCCTGTGATGCTTGGAGGACCAGGTGGCACCGGGTGCATGACCTTAACCACTGTACTATCTCAAGGCCCTTAAGTCTCAGAACGGAAGGGCCGGTGGCAATGCACCCGATCTGTGAACATCACCACGTGCATGGGCTCTGGCCTTGCTGGCACCCGACTCTTCTGATTTCCAGGCCGGACACCCAGGACAGTATGCCAGTGCCTTCCGCTTCCCACCGGGCAGAAGCTTCCTGTGCTCCCGCCGGCATAGCACACACGAGGCGCATGGTAGATGCAGCAACTGCTGCTCAGTTTAGGAACCTGGGAAGGAGCGTGTGTGTGTGTGTGTGTGTGTGTGTGTGTGTGTGCGTGTGTGTGTGTGTGTGTGTGTGTTTGGCAGAGGGCAGTGCACGCACACAGAAGGAGTGTGTGTGTGTGTGTGTGTGTGTGTGTGCGTGTGTGTGTGTGTGTGTGTGTGTGTGTGTGTGTGTGTGTGTGTTAGGCAGAGGGCAGTGCACGCACACAAGCTCTGACCTAAGCCTCCCACCTGGGGAGGACGGCAGGGCCATGGGAAGGGTCAGGGGACGCATCTCACCTGGCCATAGTCCGTCCGGAAGACCACCACGCCCTCGGCGCAGGAGTTCACGGTGCTGGGGTAGTGCTGGCCGTTCTCCCTCAGCCAGACCCGGCTTCCCTGCGGGCAAAGCAAGGACGAGTTAGTGCTGGTGGGTCCTGCCCCATGGCAAAGCAGCGCCCTGGAAATGACTGCCACAAGATATTCGTCTGAAAACAAACACACTGAAAAGCAAATATCTTTCTCAGGTGCCATGAGAGAAAGAGAGAAAAGTGCAGCCCTGGTGCTGCAGAAAAGTCCGACTGATGCTTGTTTAGGGGATCCCGTGGCTCCCTTTAGGCCAGCAACAGCATCACCCCTATTTCACAGGGGAGCCGTGGAGGCCAGGAAGTCAGGACATCTGTCTCCAGTAGCAGGGCTGAGAAACCTTATGGACTAAGAGTTGGATCCTTGAAACCCCCATTTCACCAGGCTCCCGGCCACCTTCAGCCCGGCAGTGGCTCTCCCGCGCTGGTCTGGGCCCACAGTTGCCTCCCACAGGAAGGGAACCAGAAATCCCCCACACACTTTACCTTGTGTCAAATACATGGGTCAGCTAGACTCCAAGAAAAGGGCCACAAAAGGGGTGTGTGGAGGGCGGGGAGGAGAGAGTGAGTGAGAGAGAGAGAATAGAAAGGAGAGAGAGAGAAGAGAAAAGAGAGGAGAGGAGAGAGAAGAAAGGGGCAGAGGGGGGAGAGAGTGAGGACGTGTACTGCCATAGAGGGAGTGGGCGGGAGGGGTATGATCATTGGTCAAGTACACTGGTAAAGGGATGGGTATTGAAACATTATATGATTGAAATCCAATCATGAACAACTGTGTACCTTTGTCTATCACTGTGATTCAATAAAAAAAATGGGGGGGCGGGGCACTAAATTTCTAGTAAATAATCCCAACTCAATCTGCTGGTATAAATTTTCCTAGAATTTCACCAAGAGACAGCTAATGTATTCCAAAATTGGGGAGTGTAGCCCAAAAAACGACCATTATTTTAATTCGAATGTGGGTTTTTTTTTTTGGTTACTGATCTCAGTTCCATTTTTCATTTCCTCCTAAGACCAAAGAAAGGACATAATTCGCTTTCGATGCCAGACTTCCTCTGCCTTTCATTCCATGCCATGAGAACTGTTCCCAAGGGCAAGTGATAAAAATGGACAGAACTTCTCAGGAGCTCTCTGATCACTCAAATCATAAAGAAGTTACTGTGATGATGATGATGATATGCCAGCCCGCGTGATGGAATGAGCCTTGGTAACCCACTCAGTTACTTCTAATCTGTTCAACAATTTCCGGGGAGTTCAACATCATTTCAGGAAGTTCGGCAGCTTCACAAAGACTTTAAGCTGTGTTGACCCACAGCAACAAGAGTAACTTCCAATACTGCTGGGCCCATGAACCATGAAGTGTCCCGGGCCTGGGCTGAGGCTTCAAGAGCGCCAGATCTTTCACCAACTCTTGGTGGGACAGGATTCCACACCTTCCTCCCCCCTCACCGCCAGGACGGAATGGAAATTCAGCAAAAGTCCTTGCTAAGGCATATAGCTGATGCCCAAACCAGGTGTCCAATCTCTCTGATGTGTAACCTCATGCAATTTACACACACAACACACACACACACACATACACACACAGACACACACACAAACACACACACGGATGCTATCTCCTTCACAAACAAGCATAGTAGATCAGAAGCAACTATTAGATCTTTCTCACCCTCACTGGAGAGGAAACTGAACATATGAAAATCCCAAGGAAGTTTAGATCTGACATCAAACACAACACCCTCAGGCCTAATGTGCCAGCTATCCCCACTGTGACTCAGTTCCCTGGCAAGGAGACCCTGAGTTTACGAGAGCACTCAGGGTGACACGCTCAACGCATCGAGGTTCTACGAGAAGGACAGGGATGCCAGGCCACAGGAACAAACAGGTCGACCATGCGTTTCTGAGGAGATCAGGAGTAGCTGAAGGCCCCGATGCACAGCTCCTACCCTGTCACCTGCTCACGTCATACCCTTGCAAATCCTGGGACTGCCCAGTGTCCCCTGTTACAACCCAATGGGTATTTATTTCCCATGTCGTTCCCATTCCCTTGCCCCTCGTTAGGGGAAATGAAAGCTGCTGACCCCATGCTTCTTCAAATATCCCACTCACCCCCCAAGGAGGGGTCGAAATCTGCCATGACTGAGAGGGAAAACGTCAGAAATGCAGCGTTGGGGTGGGGAGACGGTTCAAGAGGCAGGGCACATGCTTATCCTACGGAAGGCTCTGTGTTGGATCCCTCTCGCCACAAGACCCCAACCCCGAGAACTGCCAGGTGTGGTCCTAATGGCCCCTGAGCACTGGGTCAGGCAGCATGACATCACTAGACCCAAGCGCTGAATCTGGGCACCACCAGGTGAAGCATCACCAGGAGTGTGCCCCTGAGCACCGCCGGGGGAACCCCTACAAAGAGATTATGCAAGGGCCTGAGTGTCAGAACACAGGGGAGGGCTCCTGCCTCACGCATGGGTAACCCGTGCTGGTGCCTAGCATTACAGTCCCCAGCGGGCCTCGGGGTGATCTCAGCAGAGCCCCAGCACAGCCGGGGGTGGCCCCCCAAACAAATAAAAACCAAAACAGATTAAGTGTTCTCAGTTGATCTCACATGGGAAATGCAAATAACCAATACAGAGAAAGTAACAAAGCACAGTATTAACCCCTAGACTCTGAAAGACAGAGTACGCCGGGCGCTGGGCGGGAGGAAGAGGCAAATTATACACATGGACAGTCAAGTCTCTCTCTCTCTCTCTCTCTCTCCCTCTCTCTCTCTCTCTCTCTCCCTCCCTCCCTTTCTCCCTCTCTCTCCAAAGCCATAGCACTGTCCTCCTTGTTCATGGATTTGCTCGAGCGGGTACCAGTAACATCTCCTTTGTGAGACTTGTTGTTACTGGTTTTGGCATATTGAATATACCACGGGGAGCTTGCCAGGCTCTGCCGTGCGGGCAGGATACTCTCGGTAGCTTGCCAGGCTCTGTGAGAGGGACGGAGGAATCGAACCCGGGTCGGCCATGTGCAAGGCGAATGCCCTATCCGCTGTGCTAACGCTCCAGTCCAATTTAAACTTTTCATAGAAGGCAGTGGAGACAGCTAGAAGGAAAAAGAGCTTGCAGGAAGCGGAGAGGCTGGGTACAGACACTCACAAACACTCATGTATGAACAGGAGAAGGAAAAATACGGGTAGCAGGAGGAAGCGGGTTCCATCCTGCACAACCAGACATGTCCCTCTGATTCAGATTTCAGACTGGGACCCAGGTGACACCAGGCAGAGTGACACAACTGTCGGTCCTGATCATTTATCAGCAAGCAGGTGTTTCCCAAAGAACATTCCAGACCCAACGTACAGGATGTGTGATGTCTTAGAAAAAGAACTACACACCAGTCATTTGTCTTATCCTCGCTTAATCCACACATCAAAGATGGCAAGAAAGCTTTCAAAGATCTACAAAACACCAACGCAGACACGCCAACGGAAATTTCCGGTCCAATAAATAAAGTGGATTTTTCCGGGTTTTGGCTTTTTTGTTCTTTCTTCTTCATTGGCTTCTTGGGTCAAATCCTAAATTACCAATTCCAGTGAACTGTCATCCTGGAATCCAGAGTCCCAGTTCTCGAGTCTGCTGCATGCTAAGACCATTACCTGCATCCTACTCATCAATAAACAATTTCAGGTATATGTGTTTCCCAGTGACTAAATATCTGAAACGTCTCCTTTTGGTCTGAATCAACTGAAACAACTGAATGTTCCTATTTGGTCTGAATCATCTGAATCAACTGAATCGACCCAATGAAACACTACTGGCTGTCCCGTCACCGGGGTTAGGATACACCTCCTGACTCCAACAGTACACAGTGCCTGCAGGGTTTCTGTTGACTTCCCTGGCGGCACTTTAGTACCTGCTCCAGTGAAAATCTGACGGAGGTCTCTGTTGACACAGGCCTGCCAGCTCAAATACACAGTTCCCCTTGCTCAGTCCAAAGGTCTTATGAACAGGAGTGAAGAGCTGCTGATAAGGGCCAGCCTGATGAAATCCTACCCAGATTTCAAATCTGGAGCCCATTGGCCAGTGCACTGGTAGAAAGGGAAAAGGCACTCATTCAAAACATGCCCTTTGATCTTTGAGAAAGGTTAAGGTGGCCAGTTCCAGTGAATCAGAATTGCAAAGTGAAACCCTGTTTTATGCCTGTTTTATGTAAAATGTTCCTGGTGCTTTGGCTGCAAACGGATCTACTTCCCCCAAACTTTCTAAGTTCTATGCTGATCAAACACATATGCCCAAATCCAGGGAAAAAAAAAAGAGAAAAAACTATATGATAACTTCTGAACGAGAAGTTCAAATGGGGAAGAAAAACTTGCCCACATATGCCAAGCATTCTATTTTATCACTGTTAAATCAGGCCGGTAATTGAGTGGGCAATGCAGCAGACAGAGAAAGCTTTACGTTTGTGGAGGATACTCACATTCTGAAGACGAACCAGTTTGATCACAATATACGTTTTGTTAAAGTGTGGGCAAGTTTTCCTCTTAAATCGCTGTGTGTTAAATATGACAGCTAAGAACTTTCTGTACATAATTACAAGTAACATTTTTTACAATACAAAGCCCTTGCATATAAAAATTCCTGAGTCCTTTGATCTTCAGAGGACTCTGTAAAAGGGAGGAAAATGATGAATCTCTTCTTCAAAGGGAGGGTCACAGAAAAGCTCCATTTTCTATCACCGACATATGATATACAGATTATACTAAGGGTCAGTGAGGATGGGGAGTAGATGCTGTGTGTGTCACGTGCAGCCCTCACACAGGAAAATGGAGTTTGGCAGTTTCTTAAAAAAGCAAATATAATCTTCCCTATGCCCTAACCATTTCTCCTTAGAGATATCTACATCTACTCAGTCAAAGGAATTACAAAGGTCTTGTGAGCCGCTATTTATTGCTGTACCATTCACAAAGCCAAAACCTAGACATCACTCAAGTGTCCATCAACCAGTAGAGACCAAAGGAGAGAAATCTCTATAATGGAACTCCGCTAATAACAGCAA